AGAGAAGTCGTGGCTAAGGGAGGCTGTGCTGTGGTCTGGGACAATTCAGGCTGTCTCTCAAGAGCAATAACAGATCCTGCAGACACCGGTGGTTGTAGCAGAGTTAAATTGACCTTATTCCCAAGATCTGCTGGGGGGGTTTGCTGCGTCCTCGTGTTAAACATGGCTGACAGAGACACGCTTGTTCCCAGGAACTTACTGGTTCCTATTTTTCTTGCACTTGTGCTGATTTCAGTTGGCTTTGCATTTTCTCCCACATTGGCCTGTGACAACAGTTTAGTAGGGGCTCGATGGATTTGGTCATGTTTTGTGGCTGACAGCAGGGAAACACGTGTAGACACAGGTGAAGCAGGACTTGCAGGAGAGCTGATAAACATCCTTGGATGGGCAATCGTAGCCAGAAGTTTCCCAGAAGCTGCTGTTTTCATTTGGCCCTTTGTTGAAGGTGAAGTATGCACCGGTGCTGTTGTTGGTCTCTCTGTCACTGTAAAGGGCTTAGGCATAACGGGAGTAAATTCCAAATGTTTAGCAAGATCAGGTTTTACAGAAGAGGTGAAGGTTCGTGCTTCTTTAGCACACACAGCGACTCCTCCTGAACAGGTCGTGCTGCCCACTGCTGGATCTCTGCCATCATTTCCAGCTGGAAGCACTGAGAAAGCTGATGATGTGCTGGGTATAAAGTGAACTTGGGTCGGCAGCCTTTGGAGTGACTCAGTACTTCGGAGACTTTGTGATGTGGACTGCAAAGGCACGATGCTTGTGACCCTCTTTAATGGGTATTTTATGGTTCTAGCTGAGTGCCAAGGCAAACACTCCGTGCAGTGCGCACGGACAGGGGAAGGTGTCGTCACCAAGCCTTGGTGATGGCCGGTAGTTTGCAGCATTAGTTTCTGACTGTGCTGCATCTCATCTACAGCCTCTGTGACAGTAAGTGGAGGTCGGGCAGGCATTTGAAAATCAGGGAGCCTCTTTGCTGACAGTAAAGGAATGACAGAAGAATGTGGCTTTCCAGCAGTGAAAAATACTCCAGGGGAAATACGGTGGCTATGCTGTGCAGACACCACAAATGGTGGCGCGGTGGAGGTGAAAGGCTCTGCCAACACACTGTCAAGTAAAAGCAAATCAGTCCCCCTGGCACCTTGGGAACTGGGCGCAGGTACCTGCACCTCTTCAGGCAGCCTGTGCAGATGCACGGCCTGCACCGTAGTGCCAATTCTCATCTGTGGGCCCAGCAAATGATTTGATGCTGAGGTAAAAGCTGGAAACAAACTAGTGATGGCTGTATAGTTAGGATTAGCTAGCACTGGCTGAGAAGTTACTTCTGCTTTCTCTGCAGAAAGTTGGTTAGATGCAGTGGAGAGAGTAGTTTCAGACCTTGAAGACTTACTAGTGGGATAAGAGGAACTAGTTTTCATCAGGATATCATGGCTGCTTTCAGGTGTACCCGAACTGAGATCTTTCTGGTTTGTGAACAAGAGGGCAGTTTTGTGGTCATCTTTACCCTCAGGAGAGGGCACCACCTGTAAATCTGGTCCGTCAACTGGCAGAAGTATAAACACAGGCTTAACCAGAATTAAGCTAGGAGGAGTCAGATTTTGAAAGTTTGCAAGGTCCAGCACTGAAGAATTTGATGCTGCCAGGATTTGCTGAATGGAAACCAGACCCCCAGCACTGGTATTTTGGAATTTTGTAGGTAAAGGGGAATCTTGCATGGGCTGCAGGCATATCATGCCATTGGCACTTTTAAGCAGAAAGGACAGGAATGGGGATGTAAGCACTCTAAGGTGATCGCCTCTAAAAGCACTGAGGTTTTTGGGAGCTGTGTCATGTGACATACCAAACTGCTGCACTAGTGCTTGTGCCAGATACGCTGGGATCTCATCAGAAACACCGGGCACCATCGGTTCAGGATGCGCTGTTGTCGAGCTGGACTGGCTTCCCTGTTCATGGAGTGAGGGCAGTTTTGAGGCAAAAGCTGCCAGGCTGCCAGCCTGCTGGATCTGGGAGGCTGAAGGGGCAAAGCTGTGAAGAGGAACTTTCTGGTTCACACTGTCACGCAGTCCAGAGGGGCCAGGGACTGGGCTGGCTTGTGGAGTCAGTGGGGAAGAACCGGTTTTACCTGTCTGTTGTGGGAGACTTTTCTTTCCCTTGGAGTCTTCCACCGTGCTCATCTGCAACATCACAGGGAAGGCTTCCAGAGATACAGGGTGGGCAGAAATGCCTTGAACCCGAGACACAGAACCAGCAGACATGGATGAAGTTGGTATATGAAGTCCTCTCTCAGAGGTGGGGATGCCCATTAGCTGCAATCCAGCGTAAGCAGGAAGAGATGTACCTGGTGGCTGGTGGGTGGAAGCATGAACAGGATCAAAAGTGCTTACAGGCTGAAGGACCGCGTTCTCAAAGGTAGATGTACCTGGAAAGAGTGCAGATGTTACTCCTTTCAGCTCTTTAGTAGTTTGGGAAAGTTTTAATGTGGAAATCCATGACTGGCCTAATGAGGATGAATTAGCAGAAGCCTGCGGGCTCTCAGGGGATCTGGGTTTTTCAGGTTTACTTGTCATCATCTGATGATCAGTATCTCTTTGCAAAACCAGAACTGCAATTTCTTGATAGCTGCTGTTGTTTTTTTGGGAAACATGTTGTTTAGTACAGTTGAGAGTCCGGGACGAAGAGAGGGGCTGCTGTCTATCAGTTGTGCTGATGGGCCCTTGAAATGGAGATGGAAGTAAGTCATCACGAACTAGAGCTTCCAGATGTATCAATAGTGAAGAAGAAAGTACGTTGCCTTGTGGGAGTGACTGAAGAGCGGGCAACTGGGTTGGGTATCCAGAACCATTTATTACAGCTGTTGTTGAGTTTCTGGCTTTATTGCCAGAGAAAATAGGGGAAAGACGAATAGCACTTGTCTGTGTCATTCTGGAATGGACTGCATCAAGGTCCCCTGAAGCTGGCTTTTGTAGGAATGCAGAAGTTGTACCTTTAGCATCCATACTCTGAGTCTTCTTTGGGTATGCAGGTGTCACAACGGCTTTGCTGTCAGGCTGGACTTGTGGATTTGTGTCTTTTGGCCTTTTGGTAGTGAGAGGCATTCCTCTTGGTAACCAATCCACGCTTGCACCTTCAAGAGCAATCCTAACTCCTGTGGGAAATGGAGACGCTTCTATTTCTTTTCTTGGAGAATGAAAATTTACCACAGAAGTCAGAAGAGATGTTGTAGGACTTGGCACCTCCATCTGCTTGATAACAGGAATGGAAGAGACAGCTGTAAACTGGGGAGAGTCTTGATGAGTCCCTCCACTGAGAAAGGGCTGGGGCAGCCCAGTGCCAGAGCTGGTGGGACTGGAACCAGCCCCAGGAATATTTTTTGGTTTTCCTTGCAGTGACCTGTCTGGATGTTCCAGATGTGTGGTAGCCTGTGATCCTGGTGTGGAGACAGACATGCTTATGCTACTCAAGAGCTTGCTAGGAAATGTGTGTCCAGCCTGGAGTTTTAAAGTGGCTGCTTCTGTCTGCAGTTGCTCAGGCACCTCCAAGTTTGTAACCAACTCCTTCGGCAGCTCGGCTGTTCTTCTTGCAGCTGTCCCTGTATGGACAGGAATGAAGTCAACTGTTGTGTCATTGGCAGGATCAACTGCTGCACTCTGAAAATTTAAGGTCACCTCATCCGAGCTATCTTCTGTAATGGAAAACACTTCGCTGGGCACTGGGCTGATCTCAGCTCTTGCTTGTGCTTCCCCAGGAAAGCTCAGGCCTAATACTTCACTGCCATGATGTTCGTTCCTGGAGGCACCTAATGAACAGAAAACAAGCTCTTTGCCTATTCAGTGGTACACGTACATGAGCTTTTAACAGCAGGAAGCAGCACTTTGCAGCAGGCTGAGCAGAAAACAGGAAGATAAGTGGCCACCGGCTCCATTCAGAACCATGCAGGAGGAGGATGGGCAGCTCCAGTGCTGCCATTGCTACAGCCAGCTGCTAGAAACTAGACACTTCATCCTCCTGCTGTACTGGTGCAAAGCATTAACGAGTCAGAGAGGAACCCGTTAACTTAACTGTACAAGGATATAAATGACAGCTGAAGATGCAGGGAGAGTGAAACCCTCAGGCTGCCTGAGGACAGGCTGGTCACTCTTTAATAGCAAAGCAAGACTGAGATCTACACGAATGAGCTCACTCAGCTGGCTCTCCTTAGCCACTCTTCCTTCCCCCAATATCCCAGTCCTCTGATGAATTTCCCAGTTCAGAGTGGGTGACCAGGCAGGACAAAGCTAGTTTGTTTTGTGGAGGTGACACAGAGCAGACACGGTAACTTCCGTACTTCTAACTTCTCAAATCAAAAGCAGACACTTTGTCATTTAAACAGGCAGACCTACAGTTTAAAAGGCGATTGTTTTATCCACACATTTCACTTTTTTCTGTCAGAAGGTTGACATTCCCAAGTATAATTTCCGAACCACGGACTAAAATCTTACTGTACCTTCCTCTCCAAAAACTGTAAGCATTTTCATTTAGGCACCTGCCAGCAAATACATCGAAAATCTAAAAAGTGATTATGCAGTTAAGCATTTAATTTTTTTTTTTTTTTTTGGATAAAGGCAAAGCAGAGTTTACCAGTTTCACTTCAGATGAAATCCCTGGAGTTGGCATCCAAGTGTAGTGCCTTAAGAAGAGATTACAACTCCTCAGTGGTCATTTTGAAAACCAGTAATGCTCTCAGTCAACAGCAAGCAGGTTAAGCTGATATAAGTGAACCAGAAAAGCTGACATAGTGCTAAAACAGAAGTGGAGGTTAACAGATGATGGAGACTGGTACATTGAATCTATAAAATATTTTGAATTATGGTTTTGTATAAACAAATGGAACTCCCACAGTGTAGCCTCCACTTGGCAAAGCAACACAAGCGACCTGTCTATGAAGAGAAGCACCTACAGAATCACGGTCTTGTATAAAGCAAGCGGTGTAAATATCCACCAATACACCTTGCAGGGGGATAAGGTAATTAAACATAACAAACAAACCGCTCAAAAAGAATGGAATTACTAGTTAGGTGGAAAATTCTTTGACGCCCCTCCCCAAGTTTATCTCTACTGAAGAGAACAGTCTGCCTGAAGACACAAGACTGCTTTCATTAGCCAAGTTAATTTTATGTACACTGGCAGGGTACGCTCACAGGCACGCAGTAAGAGGTAGAAAGCAAAGACTGAGTGCTTCCCCGCAATGAGTGGCAGCAGCCCTAGGAACTCATTTGAGGCACGACAGCATTTCAAACTCAGCGCTGATTTCCTGCTGTCAGAAATACTTGGCAGGACAGCTGTTCCCAAAGAAAATGCAGAACGATGTGTTACTGCATGGCGAAGAGGGGCGTCCAGGCTTGACACAAGTTTGACCCTCAGTTCTGCTGTGGAGCTGCTCTGTGAAAAGTGCCACTGTTTTTCCCTTGCTTTCCCCCACCTGAGGGAGACAATATATTCTCCGGGGAACGGACTGTCTCTTAGCTTGGGTGGGCAGCACAGCTATGTCCTGATTTGGGGCCACTAATGCTCCCACAATAGAAACCATTTAAACCAAATCTTGAGCCTCGCTGCACAGAGAGAAGTTGCTCCTTCATGTCATTGTTGTCACACACCTGAGCCTGATGGCACAATATTTAGCATAGTTTTTCTGCTCACTGATAACAGAGGAAAAGAAGGCAGAAAGACAGCAATTGAGATCAGAACAAAACACATCACTCACCGGATAAATCCAATAGTCCAGCTGCAATCAGAATACAGATGGGGAATTTTTCCTGCATCTTGTGAAGCAGCCCCTGAGTCATCCCAGTAACAATATATTCAGACAGGAAACAGCTCCCTAAGGAGTTACTGCTGCCTCTTAGCAATGGGCATTTGTTGTGTTTGTTCTGGAAGGACAGAGTGTTGGGTTACTTTATAAGAGCTTAGGCCAGACAGCAACCAATAATCTGTTAAAAAAAAAAAAAAAAAAAAAAAAAAAAAAAAAAA